CCAGGAGAAATAAACAAATATTTATACTGTAAGTATTATAGAACTAAGGGATACTTATTCTACTATTATGATACAACAATCTTACATTTGGGAGCAATTTAGCGAGAACATACACTGCGTACCTTTTTGTAATAATTGTGTACCAAGGCAATACATACTGTATAGGCTTTTTAAAAATGACCGGGTACACAAAGTGCATATGTTTAAGTTTGGGCTAACATGTTTCAATGCAAGAAAAGCTAAGACTATTGCAATTTTTTTTAATATACTGGGTAACGAGAACCACTTTCATTTACGGCTCGCAATGTCACACGTAACTACATGGAACAAGAGGGTAACAAGCACCACTTTAATTTACAGCCCGCAACGTCACACTTTCCCTGTAACTACATGGAACAAGAGGGTAACAAGCACCACTACATGAAACAAGAGTATCTTTCCCCAATATTTAAGCAAAAGTTGCTATAGTTTTCGTTTTCAGTGCACTTTTGTTAAAACGATTTCTTTATAAATTGTATATATTTTATATTTTATAAATAGATATGTACCCTGTAATTTTTAAAAAGCCTATACAGTATGCTGGTTCACCATTATTTCAAAAAGGTATGTTCTTGCTAAATTGCTCCCAAATGTAAGATTGTTATATCATAAAAGTAGAATAAGAACCCCTTAGTTCTATAATACTTACAGTATAAATATTTGTATATGTTACCCCTTTATTCCTCAAACTTAAAATATTGTTCCCTTATACTTATATTGTAAGTACGTTATAGGTACACTATAATTACCGAAGGTTACGCTGTAAAATCGCTTTAATTACGCAGTACTTTCCGGGCTGTAATCTAAAGCGTTACCTATATTTTTTGTTCAAAAACTGTTCACTATTGTTGTGTGATGTGTGATTTTCAGAAATAAATGACAAAAATCTAATTTCCGGTTTTGAAATTCTCTAGTTTATTGTACATTTTTCACTCATACTTCCTTTATAAACACATTACATGCATGCTTATGTTAGCTTAGGGTCTTCTGAATCCATAAATACCAAACACATAGTGTTCCATCTCCATTACATATGGTTTATAAGCCCAAATGTAAAAATAGAGAAAACGGACCAAAAAGGGCTTAGTCCCCAGAGGGTTAAAATGTATCCCCACCTTAAAAGGACAATTTAGGCAAATTTTAAAGCCAAAATAAACATTTTACTAAATAATTTATCCAAACGCATGATGCACAAGCATAATGTTTCTGCTTTTAAAATCCTCTCTTGCACTGGGCCCATATACTTCCTTAGTAAGTCTTTACTGTAAAGATTTTTTTTTGTATTTTTTAAACATGATTGACGAGTCAAATAAATGTAATGGACAAACAATAGACATTTTGTCACAGAAATGTTGTCAATATACTGTAGCTCAACTTATGTTGGACCTGCAGCATTGTAGAGAATAGTAAATGAATACAGCTTTATCAGAATGAGGTGAGAAGTGGGAAAGAGCAAGTGGGAAGAAATTCAACCAAAAGAGGTTATTGATGTTCTTCAAAACATTCATACTAATGGGGTGCTGCTAAAACAAGGCTCAAGAATATCAATGTCTCGCCCTGTATATCCAGAGAGAGAAAGCTAGAGGTACAGGGAAGTACACTTCCCCTCTTCCCTTTATAAATTTTCCAGTCGCCCTCAAGGAGGACAGACAGTTTGAGCACTAATGCAGGTGTTTAAGTGAGCTGAGCGCAGACAGACGGGCCGTTCTTTGATCTGATGCTGTCTCTCATATTAATGGGGCTGGAGATAGAGCAGCTTGAGCTCTCTGTCTGAGCTTTAGTCTTTCTGTAATCCAATCCCTCATTTCTTCCCCATTACTGCTCCTCTCAGTCCATTCCTCACTCTGTGACTCCTGTGTTTCTCCTCGTTTTCTCATTTATTCCTTCATTCCACCTCTTTAACACCACTCACCCTGTTATTAGAGGTACAGAGAGTACAGATTTCTTTCCTTTTGACTCACACACTGAAGAAGGCACGCGCCGAAACGCATCTGTGCAAATAAAATAAAAGAACATATGCATAGTGCGGCCTCTCTTCTATTTTTCGTATTCTAATCATCCAGGCCAGCACTCTTAAAGTTTATAAGTATATACATTGAGTGAAGCCTGCTCCTATCCTCACTTACTCACACCTGATTTACCATGCATTTTCAGCAGTTAGGGTCTGTGTACTAAAGTATTGTTAAGGTAGTGTGTAAAGAAGTATGCAGCACGGTAAACGTTTCAAACTGTTGCATCTACTGTATATCGGTGTTTTAAATGTGTTAATTTGATCAAATAATGAGTCAAGAAAGAGACGGTAAGAGCCTAACCGTACGTTCACACCGCCGCCGGCGAGAGCGGGAAAATTAGCTCTCGCAGCCCTGCCAGCGACGCCGTGGAAAGATTCGTGGACTCTCTGTTGCTCTGACGTAGATCGAATGCGTGATCTTTTTTAAAACTGTATTTAAAGGGGCCGCAAAGCAAACAAGCATGTCGATCGTTATTTTTGCAGAAAATTGATGGACGGAAAGAACTTAACAATTATAGTGACATGTTTGCTAATGAAATAAACAAATTAAAAGCCATTTGTGTGGTGTGGCTTTTGTGTTCATGGTTAAGTGCTATTATAATTTGCATTCCCGCTGAAAAAGTGTTCTAGCACGAAAATCTTGCCAATAAATAGTGTTGCGCGCCTTCTTATCAAATTCAAATGATCAACCTCCTCTATTTTGCTTGAGACCTAATGTGGTCGGAACCAAAGTTTACAGGACTACGTTCTCTGGAATTCTCTCAAACGGAGCACTTCTACATTCCGATTGGTTGCCGCCGAACCGCGTCATTGCTTATTACCATAAAGTTGACCTGACTTCAACTCTCCTCGCCGCTCTCACCGTCCAAGACGCGCCGCGCTGCCCTCGCCTGTGTGAACCCACAGTAAGGAAGAGAGTTGGAGTTTTGTGCTTTTAGTCAATATCTGGTACCCCTATTTCTAAATGCTGAGACAAATAAGGTTTTAGCAAAAATACACATTTAAAACGTACAGGCTTCCAGTAAAATGCTTCAGAAATAGCAACAAAATAATATTATGTTTAGTGGCACTTTCAAATCAAGTTTTGCTAATTTTTCGGAACAGATGTATGCAGCAAAATATTATGTCAGTTGAGGTTACCTCTTGAGGTTTACTCACACAGCTCTTACTAGCTGGCCTCCGTTACACTCACCCCCCTAAACCTCACTCCAATCTGGGTCACGGCACCAATGCAACCAGCCCTACTCGGCCCACTCCAAGCAGGATTCGAACCAGCATCTCCAACATAGTGGGTGTGTGCGCTAACCAGGACACTAAAGACCGTGCCTCTTAAGGCCAGGGGAGTGAGGTTTATCTGCACAGCTCTGTATTAGCTGGCCTTCATTACACTCTCACCCCCCTAAACCTCACTCCCATCCGGGTCATGGCACCATTGTGACTGGTCCTAATCGCTCTGCTCCAAACAGGATTTGAGTTTCCAGCATGGGAGGCAGGCACTTTAAAGACCAGAGCCTCTAAAGGCTAGGGGAGTAAGGTTTACTCCCACAACTCTTACTAGCTGGCCTCCGTTATAGAAGCAAACATCAAAATGTATTTGTTTATGAACCATGCACTATGGTAACAGTGTTTTGAGGTCATAAGGAACTGTGCAAATTTATTAAATACTGTACATCTTTATCTATCAAGAATCCACCTCTGTAATAATCATTTCTGAAAAGGAATAAAAGTGTTGGTATTTTATTGTCACTAGTGTTCATTTCAACTGGGATCCGTAGTGAAATGTGTGTATAGCTACGTTTTTAGAGTTTCACATAAATATAGTTAAAGGTACGGTTTTCCAATGAGCCTACGGCAAATGAGAATGTTACACGCCAACTACTCATTGTAATCAATTACTGCTGCTAACTAGCGAATCATAGTACCAAATCATTGGTTAGGCAAATTTATCCATGTTTTCAATCATTTGCTGAACTACATCTGCCTTGAATCTGATGCATAATCAGCCGGACTGCAGAAGCTCTTTCATTATCATCTTTCTCTCTGAACCTCTGTAATGTAGTCGTTCATTAGCAGGGTCGCCAGCGTGCCCTTTAATGTGAAGAATCAGCAGCATTGATCCACTCCTGTGAAGAGAGAGTCCTCAGGGAGGAGTGTAGTAATGAGGAGACACCTCGCTTCAGATGGCTTCATCCTGTATTCTGAGTGTTTATGATGGCTCTTATCATCTCTCTCCGAGGGCTCTGCTGCTTTATGATAGTCAGATTAAGAAGACCAGACTGAGAGATAGGGGGTTGGTCATGATAAATACAGAGGAGATAGATGTGGACAGGAAGGAAGATGCTTGTGTGTGGAGGAGTTTACTGCAGATCCAGTGGAACATTTTATTGCTTATTTCATAGCTCAGAAGAACTAATGGAGTTCTCGGTTATCTTTGTGATATCTTGATCTTAAGAGCCATCTTAAATGTCTTAGAAATTTCTCCTAAAACCCAATTTCAGCTTCAGCAATGTTCTTAAATTTTGTCTGCCATTGGTTTTGTAAATGCAACCATTTCCATTTTTAAATGAATCAGATTATCACTAATAAGGTCTTGATATATTAAAATATGTTGAAATTAGGAGACATAATTATGTACATTTAAACGAAAAACAAAGTAACTACTGCATTTATTACGTGTCAGATGTGTTGACCACAGATGGCTGTTTTTCACTGTATTGCAATAATAGTTTGTTAATATAATGTGTATTTAAAAAATTATGACGTAGCCGAGGAGGACATGGAAGCCTCAGAAGGACTAGTGTAAGGAGGATGCAGCCTTCCAATTCTGAACCACTCAGTAGCCTATGTGTATTTCCTGTTTAAGATTATGTATTATGTTGGAATGTACGTAATAAGTGAAAATTAGATTGCAAATGAAAATAATCTTGCTTTTCTCTATTTTTATTCACAGGGTCTTTCAGAAGTGAAGGCATAGTGAAGGCGTCTGATGTCCTTCCTGTACTGAGGGAAAAACTAGCGTTTGTATCAGGTGAGTGTGAGATCTGTGAGATGTTCTGAATGTGATCTATTCTCATTTTCATTCTGTTGTCTTTTACTCTCATGTTTTGAGAATTAATTACGTTTGGCATTGGGATTTCATCGTTTGGCTCTAGTGTTGGTGGTGTACAAGCTGGTGGGGAACTTTTTTTTTTTGGGGGGCTAAACCAAATAATGAATGCAGAATAATGTAATACAGAACATTCGAACATTACATGGGTCATGACATCTTTTGACATATAAGAGTTATTTGTATCATTAAAACACCCTGTCAGTTCTCTTACGAGAGTATCTCTCGTACTGCGTAATAGCTTACGCTAGGGGAAAAACCTCTTTTTTATTAATGTAAAACGCTTTGCAGCAGCAAGCAGACACAGGCGAGACAGCTCGCGCGCCTTTTGGCTGCTCTTGCGGCAAATGCAGGAGCCTATCGAGAGAGACTCTGCGTGACGTAATGACCAATGGGGGCAACTCGCGCCCATATCGTCACGTCCCGCCAGAAAGGGCGTGGTCTCACTATATAAATATGCTCGTTAGGCTGGTACAAGCTGATTTTCATCTCTTCAGCGAAGCACACGCATCGCTGGATCCGGAGTGAGAAGCCGCGCCGTCGAAGCAAGCTTTTCAGCGGGACGAGCTCTGGAGTCGCTGGCCTCGCCGCCTTCAACTGCCGTACCTGCTGCGCTTTCCGGCGTTCTATATCCTTTTATATCACTTTGTATCCTTACTCTGCTGAGAGTGTTTGCTCGCTTACTTGATGTGACTCACACTTCTCATCACAAAAGAGCTGCATCTTTTTAAAGATGCCATCCTGTGGCTCGTGACGCGCCCCACTCAGCGACGGGGACCGTCACGTCATCTGTGTGTCCTGCCTGGGTGAGGATCACGCGGCCATCGCGCTCGCTGACGGCGGATGCCCTCATTGCGAGCTTTTGCCTATGGTGACTCTGAGGACTCGCCTGGCATCATTCTCCGAGCCTTCACCACAGCCCGCCGTGGTGCCGCGCCGCAAGAAGCGCCGCGCCCAGCGCGCTCCCGAGCTCTCTCCAGCCCGCCAAAGCTCGCCGGTTCGCCCGCCAGCTTCGCCGGCTTCGCTCGAGTCGCTCACTGACGGACAATGGCCGCCGCCTGCCGCCGCGTCCGTCCACGAGTCCGACGAACCCACCGAGGCGTGTTCTCTTCTGGCATCTGATAGCGAGGATTGGGCGAGCTCTGTGGACCTCCCCTCCGCTAGCGTTTCCCGCCAAACCACTGGTAAGAGAGCCGGCATTGAGACCTCTCTAAGGCCGTGGAAAGCATCGGCCTCGACTGGGAGGCGCCCGCGCAACCGCCGCGCAACAGACTGGACGGACGCTTTCTCGTAAATGATGAGGCTCCGTCAAAGTCAAGGCCCGCGCCCTTCCTCCCGGAACTACACGAGGAAGTGACTAAGTCATGGAACGCCCCCTTCTCCGCCAGGCTGCGTACCTCTGCCTCTGCTGCATTCTCCTCGGTGGATGGCGCGAAGGACAGAGGGTACCTCTCCGTTCCCCCTGTGGAACCAGCGGTAGCGTCTCATCTCTGCCCGCCCTCCGCTGGACGGCGCGCTCACACGACGCTACCATCTAAAGCCTGCCGAGTGACGTCAGCCATGCACGGACGCGCTTACACCGCCGCCGGGCAAGCAGTTTCAGCGCTGCATACTATGGCTATCCTGCAGATCTTCCAGGCCGACCTTCTCCTTAAACTGGACGAGGAAGGACCCGAAGCGATCTGCGTGGCGGACCTGAGAAGCGCTACAGACCTCGCTCTTCGCGCTGCTAAAGCCGCTGCACAGGCCATAGGACGAAATATGGCCTCTCTCACCGTGGCTGAGAGACACTTATGGCTGACGCTGTCCGAGATGACGGAGGCCGAGCGCTCTGTGTTCCTCGACGCGCCCATTTCACCAGCGGGCCTCTTCGGATCTGCCGTCAAAGATTTCCCGGACAGATTCATGGAGGTGCAGAAGACTTCGCAGGCTATGAAGCACTTCCTTCCGAAGCGCTCGAGCTCCGCTGCAGGCCGCTCAAAACAGCCGTCTGCTCGCAGCTCTCAGCCGCAACCTGCACCGCCCGCCGCCGCCGCTTCACAGCGCCGCCACGCCCGAGACCAAAGACCGCGCTCTCGCTCTGCTGGATGCCGCCCCCCTCAGCGCGGGCCCCGGCCGAGGATTGAGATCAAGGCCGAGGCCTCAAAGTCTTCCTAGCCATTCTAGGAAAGCGACGGTGTTAAGATCCCGCTGCGGCCGGATTTCCACCAAAACTTCTCGCTCGGTCAGTTCCAAGCATCGCGACTGTCCCAGTGTATTTCGCAGTGAGCCAGCCGGTGTCTCAGCCCGTTTGCCTGCGCACAAAAGCCGTTTTTACGGCTACCCAGATAAATGCAATAAAGAGTGCATTTTCTGGTGTTCCGGCCACGGCCGATGGTGTAATGAGTGTTGTAAGAATGCCCACGCCCCAGTGCCCATTCCCACACCCAGACACAGCCCGCCACGGTGCAGGGCTAGCACAAATAAAATCGACTCAGGTCGATTGTGCAAACAATGTAGTGAACGCGCCCATGTCACAATGCCCGCTTACACTGCATGCTGCGTGTCCCTTGGTTTCTGTAAAAACGAAACCAACACACATTTAGTCGGCTCTAACCGACAATGTTTTCAGTGTAGTAAATGTGCCCGCAGTCCCGCGCCCACCTTTTCTCACAGACACGCCGAATCCTACGGGATCTGCCCCGCTCACTTTTTCTGCACAATCTGCCATAGAAAAGCTGAGCGCGGCCAGGCTGCCCGCTGTGATCAGCGCGCCCCCCGCCTCAAACGCTGTAAACACGGTGTTGTGTTCCCAGTATACCAGGGCTCTCGAGCTGCTGTTTTGCCGCGGCCAGAGCCCGGATTTCATTCTGCCTCTAGCTATTCACGCGGATGCGTGGTCAAAGCTTCCCGGGGTATCAGAATGGGTGCTGAACACTATAAAGAGAGGCTATTTGCTAAAATTCGCTCGACGCCCTCGCCGTTATATGGAGCGTGTCGAAACTACGGTGAAAAACGAAGTGTCTCATCTACTTCGTGCCGAGATACATTTACATTTACATTTAGTCATTTAGCAGACGCTTTTATCCAAAGCGACTTACAACTGAGGACTAAACCAAGCGAGTCATCGTGAAGAGGCAAAAGCAATGCAAGAAGTGCTCAAAATACAAAGTTCAGACATAGCTCGGAGTAGCATAAGCCAGGCAAGCGAGGATTAAGAGGAAAGGATTATTTTTTTATTTTTTTTATTTTTTTATTTATGTTAAGTGCTCCCGGAAGAGATGAGTTTTTAGTTGTCTTTTGAATGTTGTCAGGGATTCTGCATTCCGGATGAGGGTGGGGAGATCATTCCACCAGCATGGAACCGTGAATGAGAATGTTCTGGAGAGTGATTTTGTGCCCCGCTGTGATGGTACCACGAGCCGTCGCTCATTGACCGATCGTAGGCTTCTGGTAGGGATGTAGACTTGTAGTAGTGAGTGGAAGTAGGAAGGAGCTGAACCTGTGGTCAATCTGTAAGCAAGCGTCAAAGCCTTGAACTTGATGCGAGCAGCGAGTGGTAGCCAGTGCAGAGAGATGAACAGAAGAGGGACGTGGGCCCTTTTGGGCTCGTTGAAGACAAGACGAGCTGCAGCATTCTGGATCATTTGTAGAGGTTTAGTTGCACATGATGGAAGTCCAGCCAGAAGAGCATTGCAGTAATCAAGCCTAGAAATGACCAGGGCCTGGACGAGAAGTTGTGTTGCATGCTCAGTTAGGAAAGGCCTGATCTTCCTGATGTTGTGCATAGCAAACCTGCATGATCGAGCTGTCTTTGTAATGTGGTCTGTGAAGGTCAGCTGATCATCAAAGATTACTCCAAGATTTCTGACCGACCTTGATGGGGTGATTGAGGATGACTCTAGCTGGATAGTGAAGTCGTGCTGCAGAGATGGATTGGCAGGGAGGACGAGAAGCTCAGTCTTTGCCAGGTTGAGCTGCAGGTGATGTTCCTTCATCCATGCCGAGATGTCCGCCAGACAGCATGAGATCCGTACAGCTACTGTGGGATCATCAGGTTGAAATGAGAGGTAGAGCTGGGTGTCATCAGCATAGCAATGGTAAGAGAAACCATGTGCCTGTATGATAGGTCCCAGTGATGTGGTGTAAATGGAGAAGAGGAGCGGTCCGAGAACTGACCCCTGAGGAACGCCTGTGGTCAGTTGATGTGGTTTGGATACCTCACCTCTCCATGTGACCTTGAAGGACCTACCTGTGAGATAGGACTCAAACCAGTTGAGGGAGGTTCCAGTGATGCCCAGTGATGAGAGGGCGGACAAGAGGATCTGATGATTCACAGTGTCGAAGGCAGCAGACAGATCCAGTAGAATGAGAACTGATGATTTGGAAGCAGCTTTTGCGATCCGCAGGGCTTCCGTGACTGACAGCAATGCAGTCTCAGTTGAATGTCCTTTCTTGAAGCCAGATTGGTTGACATCCAGCTGGTTGTTCAGAGACAGGAAGGATGATACTTGGTTAAAAGCAACTCGTTCAAGTGTTTTCGCAATGAATGGTAGGAGAGAGACAGGTCTGTAGTTCTCTAGAAGTGATGTGTTTAATGTTGATTTTTTAAGCAGAGGAGTTACCCGAGCCTGCTTAAATGCTGTAGGGAAAATGCCAGTGTGGAGGGATGAGTTGATAATGTGTGTGAGAGCTGGTAGAAGTGTGGGAGAGATGGCTTGTAGAAGGTGTGAGGGGATGGGGTCTAGAGGGCAGGTGGTAGGATGACTGGAGAGGAGAAGTTTAGATACTTCTTCCTCGGTTAGTGGAGTGAAGGAGGAGAGAAGGTTATTGGCTGTGGGAGAGGTTAGTCTGGGTTCCTGTGCTGAGAACTGACTGCTGATAGTTGTAGTTTTGTTAGTGAAGAAGTTAGCAAAATCATCAGCAGTTAGCGAGGAGGTGGG